GATTGGCCCAAACCTCAATCCACCAAGGCTCTCCGCGAGTTCCTAGGACTGACCGGGTACTATCGCAAGTTTGTGCAAAATTATGGATTATTGGCTGCCCCATTAACCAGTATGCTAAAGAAGAACGCATTCCAGTGGGATGAAGCAGCTGACGCCGCCTTTGCGAACTTAAGGGATGCCCTCTCCTCCACACCCGTATTACAGTTACCAAATTTTGACCTGGAATTTACGGTCGAATGCGATGCATCCGGTGTAGGTATTGGAGCAGTACTACAATAGCAAGGACATCCAATAGCCTTCTTTAGCCGCAAACTGGCTAACCGGCATCTAAAGCTACCGGCCTACGAGCGCGAGTTGATTGGACTAGCTAAGGCCGTGCAACACTGGAGGCCATACTTGTGGGGAAGATCCTTCGTCATCAAGACTGATCACTACAGCCTCAAGTATCTACTGGAGCAGCGGCTAACCACTCCGCCTCAACAACATTGGGCAAGCAAACTGTTCGGGTTTGATTTTCGGGTGGACTACAAGGTGGGGTCCTTAAATCGGGCTGTAGATGCCCTGTCCAGACGTGACGAAGATGCTATGCTCCTTTGTGCGATTTCACGGCCCTGCGTCACCCTGTTGGAAGGCATTAGAAGCACGCTGCCCCAATCACCGGAATGGAAGGACCTTGTTCAGAAAATACAGTCCGGAACGACCAACACGAATTGGTCCATTCACGACGGGTTGGTGCTATACAAAGGACGGATATACCTCCCAGCCGACTGTTCCTTAATTCCCTCCGTCATCTCCAGCATACATAACTCCACACATGAGGGCATTCAAAAGACATTGCACCGCATCCAAGCCGATTTCCATCGGCCTGGCATGAGGACTTCGGTTCGGGACTTCATCCCGAATTGCTCCACGTGCCAACAACAAAAATGGGAAAACCTACACCCGGCAGGCCTTCTCCAGCCTCTTTCACTCCCAACACAAATCTGGGTTGATATCTCTATGGACTTCATTGAGGGCCTACCCAAGGTCGGCGGGAAATCGGTCTTATTCATGGTGGTGGATCGCTTTTCCAAGTATGCTCACTTCATTCCCCTGTCCCACCCGTATAGCGCGGTTTCAGTTGCCCACGTCTTCTTTACACATATTTTCCGTTTGCATGGGCTACCAGAATCCATCGTCAGTGACAGGGACCCGGTTTTTACTAGCACCTTCTGGAAGGAGCTGTTTCGGTTGCAGGGTACAACCCTAGCTTTTTCCTTTGCCTACCACCCTCAGACAGACGGGCAAACAGAGGTGGTAAACCATACGATAGAGATGTATCTCCGTTGTTTTGTGGGTGACCAACCACAGCGGTGGGTTGATTGGCTTCCTTGGGCCGAATACTGTTACAACACGGCCTATCATTCTTCCCTTGGCATGACACCATT